GAGTTCCCCTCCCATTTCCTTGGATTGGAATTAGTCACATTTTCGATCTTGGTGATGTTGCAGAAGTTCAGTCTTGGCTTGATTACGTAGGCTAGACCTGAGGGGATGGCATAAAAGGGGAGAAAACAGCCTAAGGGTTTTGCAAGATGTTTCGAGGATACCTTCAATGAATCAATACTTGAACCCCGTATAGTGAATCAGCCTGAGGCGCCGAGTCACCCTCAGTTATGCTCTCGTTTTGAGGCTCGATTATCCCTAATCTCAAATAAAAAAAAGGGCGTTGTGTCAGTTGGCGGCCCATACCTTGGTTGAAGTCGTGTACTCGTCTAGTGAAGTTCTCGAAGCGGCGTTCGTTTCTTATGACGTAGAAGGGGGTGTAGTCCATGCGAGTGATCCTCGTGTCCCAGTCGTACCACTCCTGTTGGAAGAGAAGTAAGGAGTGAACAGCGAAACATTTAGGGAAACTATTCATCTCATGTGCCTCCTATCTCGGCACTTTATCTGTTTCTGATAATTTTCAAAAACAAATACTTCTTTCCCCTAAAAGGTTTTAAGCTTTCTGGTGAAAAGTCCATTTCCTAGGGATACGTGAGAATAACTTACATCTTTAGGAAATATTCCACGGAAACGCAACAAAAATGTATCATTATCCCCGCTTGGGAAAGGGATGTCCACGCCTGTGATGTGTTCGGATTTGTAGCTGAAGGACTGGACCGTCTTTGGAGGATTGAGGTAGGTCTTCCTGTCGGTGCAGTAGACGTCCTTTGGGGGCTGTCGGTGAGCAAGAAATGTAACCCCTCTTGGGTAATAATAGTAGTAGCAATAGCAGTAGTAGTAGCAGTAATGATAATTATAATAATAATAAAAACAATATTATGAAAATAATGATAATAGATAATTATAATAATAATAAAAACAACAATATTATGAAAATGATAATGATAATAGATAATAACACTAATAATAACAATGACGATAATAATAACGGTAATAACAACAATAATTAAAATTATATTGATAAAAATAATGATAATAATAATAATGTCTCCAATAATGATAATGATATTACTAATAATCGTAATAATGATAGTAATAATAATGATACTACTACTACTACTAAAAAAAATTAATGACGATGATAATAATAAGGTGAGAATACGTCGAAAGAAATAGCTTTGATCCATAGTGTCCCAAGGTCGCCACCTCTACCTGCGAGCGAGTAGTCGGGGTCGAGGCGGCGAGAGCCTCGAACTCCCGTATAATAGATCCGCATTAGGGCTCCTAAGCCCACTGAGCGAATTATGAAAATGAATCAAAGTATAGGGCGCCGCTAGGTGCTGAAATCATTCAACAATAACATTTCAGCAAAAAAATGTTAGATGTCATCTTACTTGGCGAAATTATTAAATTCCATGCATACCTCTCTCTTTTTCCGTTATGCTAAACGTGTTATGTAGGATAAAAAAAGAGAAAAAAAAAACTTCTTTATATAAACATAGACATATACACCGGATGCCGCGATCGAGCATGGAAATATAACGCAACTTACCTCAAGGACATAGCGCGATGGACGAAACTCTCGCCGGAAGTCAAAGAAATCATATCGCACCATCACTTCCCCGTCGGTGTGGCCAGCGACCGCACCATTGGCATAGATCTCGACGGCAATGGGCACTGGTTCCTTGTTATTTTGCAAGTTCCACTCCTTATCTGCGAGAGAGACATTGGGGAAAGTTACAGTGTTCTGAATTTCAGCATGAACATAAAATAAATATTCTGCAACCTAAATGCCTCTTCACAAAGGCCTTAAAACTGGTACTCACTAGACCAATAGTACGTATAGAGAACGGAGACTCCCTCCTCTGGCTTATCCAGGCAAGTCTCAAACACGTCGCAGTCGATTCCATGACAGTCCTCCACGAGTTCTCTGGCAGTGTAGTTGAACTGCGGCCCGAACTCCAGGATGCCCGCGGCGCCCATGAACCCGCTCTCCCCGGCCACGGCCACGAACCTGGCAAAGGATAACGCTTGCTGGCGATTCTGCTTTGCGGTGATTTGTCTACGGTAATTTCCCCCACAGAATAGGCGCTGAAATTGCTGTACTTAAATATCTTTTTTCCTCTAAGATTTTATTTATCTTAGCATAAAATCGTTGTTCTAGGAGGCTAATAAAAATAATTGCAGGAAATTGTCACATCTACTACACCACAATTTTCTGATATCATTTCGCATATTCAAAAATCACTGTATTTGTGTTGCTACAGGATTGTCTTAGTTCCTTAGTACTGAAGAAAAAGACCTAATTGTTAGATTATACTCCCGCAGATGTCTCCCTAACGCGCTTTCAGTGATGCTTCCAGATATGAAAGAAAAGAGTGGCAATTAACAGTCAAGGCAACATGTATCGCAAAAATGGGTAAAGTATTTCACGCAAACATGAAAGTTCAGCGAAATAATTAATTCCATTTGATATTATTGATGAGATAACTGATATAAACAC